CCCCAAAAAGTAGTAAAGAGTAAAAAGCATAAAAATTGAGTGCCTGGAAGAGAAATGCTCTTGCTTTTTCTGTCCTACAACTTCCATGGTGGAAAAGGTATTTATAGACAGTTCTCCAGCAAAAAGAACTACAAGGGTAGTTCTAACTCCATTATCAGCTTCATGTTCATGACAAAAGCTTCCCTCCAAAACTCCCAAGTGTCAAGTACTCACTGGCTCTGAAAGAAGCTGTTTAACTAGATTAAAGTTAATATGAAGACATCTTTGAGAGGAGGTCTAGGTGTTTAGCCTTGACCTAGGAATTCTCCCCTTGAGAACACTTCTTCAGTCTGCTCAAAACCGATTCTGAAAGTCTTCTAACAGACTTTAACAGCCTACAACATATCATACGAGGCAATTTTCCAGGTAATGTATTCATTAGCTCTCTGTTAAAAGAAAAGGAAGGTGAAAAGTTCTCAGCATCTAGAAGGAGTTACCATGTAGTTGGCATCAAGTTATATCAAGATGCTCCTTTCTTTTAAGGCTAAAGAACCAATTCTAAAGTTTTGTTAAAACCAGACATTTCTGGTTGATGGAAGAGGTTACCATATCTGACTGGAAAGGCCTTGTGTATTAAGATACAGGAAGAAAAATAGGGTTGTATGCCAGATGAGTTATCTGTTGAAACCTTGATAAATGCAACTAATCAGGCACTATACAATACCTTAAAGAAAATCTGAACTAATTTACACTTAATCAGAGAAAAAATAGATCAACAGCCTTCACAAGTTATTAAAACCCATAGATTAGTGTATGTTTTTGCATAGTCTTCCACACAAGCAAGTTCTCTGTGTAACTGAACTTCTCAGGAAATTATGGGTTGTATACTGAGCACACCAACAGGCAGTGACAGCCCTGACCAGCCTCACCTGGGTCCTCCCCCACACCCTGCCCAGGGGACCCATTTAAACTCAGCTCTAAGTCCTCACTCCACATTTAAGCTTTATAGATCTGCTGGCTTGTTGTTATGCTCTGTCTGCACCCTGACTTGGAGGCTGACTTCCTAGCTTGGTCTCACACTTGTCTTTTCACTATATGTGTGCCTGACTGTGGTTGCTGTTGCTGGCCTAGTCCTTATGCTGTGTTCCCAGCCTGACCTCAGCCCTGCCTTGCTGCAGTAGGTGCTTGCACTCCTTGCTCAGGTACTGTGGGGGTCCCTGGCTGGTGAGACCCCTGTCCTGCTGTTGTGGTTCCTGCTTTTGGGGAGGGAGCTGGGCCTTGCTGTGCCCTGCTATCCTGATATAACTGCCAAAACAGGGAAAAGGGTGCTTGCCCCATGTCTTCAGGAGGTTTGATTCAAATGCAATCCTTATCTTAAAAAGCTCAACTCTGTTTAGGGGCTATGTTTATATTGTGGAACTGGGTGACTTGAAAGAGTCTTCTGTACTGAATATAACCTTAATCAGGAAGAGTCAAAGTCAAAAGTGTCAGAAGTATAGATTTCTAAATATATTTAGAATCTTAAATCAAAAGATTCTCAAAATAGCAGAGGAGTTCAAAGAAGGAAAACCACTGCAGGTAATATAACAATCCTGTGTTGTCACTGATGTAGAGCTTCTGCAAGCTTAAAGTACTGGAGTTTTATTTTAGGAAAAATTCATAATTTTTTTAAGAAGTTGGATGTTACTCAAGTAGGTACAAAAGCTCAAAGATTCAAGAAAAATCAGTGTTTTTTTTTAAATACCACAGTTACATGAGGATAAAATAAATAATTCAAAAGCTGTTTGCTCTCCCAAAGAATATAAGATTTCAGTCACAAAGTTGCAGGAGTTAATAGAGAACTTTCTGTATGGACAGGTGAAGCTCAGGTCTCTGGGATTTTTACATCCTCCCAAGCACCTGTGTATGTATCCTTGTTGGAGGCAGTGCTGGTGTACCTGTGTTCATCTACTTGGCCTACTTGTTTTCTGCAGCACCATTTCCCTGCTGGGCACTTGTATTTCTGACCTGTAGCTCTTTTTCATGAAAGTAGTGGCATCAGAAAAACATTGAAACGTTTTCTAGGTTTGGATTTAGACGGATCTGATCTGACATAAGGTTTGGGCTACAGCCTGTGCCCAGATCAGTGCTTCCAGTAGCAGACAATTGTGAGCACTCTGTCGTGATCATGAAGGAGATTCATTTGGATGTCTGAAACTAAACTAAAACGAATAAGTGAGCTCAGTAGTGCTAAATGCAATGTAGGTAAGTAAACACTATAATCATAACACTTCTCACACTGCTTTAAGTGGTGAAGCCTTAGTCCTCCAAATGTGTTTGTACATGCCAAGTACAGACCCACATGAGCAGTCTCTCTGATTACCCTCCGAATGATCACTGCCTTCATGTGGTATGGCTATTTAAAGCCACGTTGTAAATAAAGCTCAGGTAACAGCCCCAATGCAATGAGGTGTTCTGTGCCCTCCAAAATGCTGATGCATCACAGGAAAAGTCAGAACACAGCGGAAGCATACCCAGCTCAACCTCCACTGGACAATATTAAATCATTATTTCTTAATTTGTAAACTATATTTATCTGTATTAGAGCAGTAATCTGTCTGAATTAAGGCATAATACCTTCTTAATGCTAAACCAGTCCAGTGCTAGAAGAAATTAATACCAGCAAGGAGGGAAAAAAAAAAACAAATAAAACCTGAATCTACTGTAGAGCTTGTTATTATATGATTGTAATATTCAAAAATGTGTTTGTTTTGAAGAATTATCTTATAATGATAATTTAGAGCTGAGCTAATTACATGTATATAATGGAACAAGTATTCATTTTACCCTAAAACAAGAAAAAAAACCACTAAACTTTGTTGCCTTTTAAATATTGATTGCCTTTGTGTCATTTAATTTTATTCTCCTGGGTGTGTCCTGAAGATTGCTCCTTCAGGTGACATAAAATTTCTGGATGTAGCAGAACTGGATTTGGTCTCAACATTTAAAAATTACTCAACTTCATTGCAGTCCCTGGACTTAAATGACTCTTGGCTCATGCAGTAGATGATTTTCAAAATTTTAAGATTATTGTGAAGTGTTTCCTTTCTCAGAAAAAGAGCTATGGTATCTAGACCAGACCAGACACTGAATCATGCAATTCAGCAGAGTTATCTTTAAGTCTATTAATAAAATACATCAAGTCTGCTTCTAGCCTCTAAGGTTTTGTGGTATTTATAGCACTTGCTCTAAGTAGATAGTATTGATGTGATTTAAACATTTATTGTACATGTATTGATATATATACTAATTAAAAGCTTTTGTTTTAGTAAGTTAAATGCATATATTTTTCTGATGTTTTTGATGTTCTGATATTAATCAGTGTTGATATCAGAAAGCCTTATAATACTCAATGTAAATAATGTGTTACAGAGGTTTTTTAAAAAGAAAAATCTTATTTTAGATGCATATCTTGGGCAAAGATGTTTTTTTGACTTGGCTGTCCTTTGCGGCTATGCAGTTCCTTCAAGCAAGGTAAAAATTGGAGTGCAAGATAATGGACTAATCAAAAGTCCTTTTTAACAAACAAGGAGTCTACAGACAATACAGCCCAAAAACCTTGGTAGTGCTAGGTTCCTAATAATAGGAAAAGACTTATTTTCTTGTTAGAGATGTAAATGAGGCAGAGCTCTGGAACTTCATTTGTGGTCACTGTCTTAGCTGTCACTGCAGTAGGTTAATTAGGCCTAGATAGTGTCTGTGGCTCTCAACAAGGACAATGGCTTCCTCAGATGTGTAACTAATAGTTTATCAACATAGGCAAAATATCCGAGACTCTTATCTACCTTTCTTATTGGTATCAGCCAGTCATGCTAAAGTCAAAGCATTTAAACCTTTTGTGTGTCTGTATGCTACTCACTCCATCTTCAGAGAGACCAGTGTAAAATCTGGAATCACTCAATGCAAAATGAGTTTCACTGTCGTGTCACATTGTGGATAAACAGTTGGAACAAGGAAATACAACCTGTACTTGTAACCTTCTGCCATGCATGCGAGTCAAAGCAGAGTATTGGCAAATGTGAATTCCCTAACCACCAAGCTCTATTTCTGCCTGTTTTCTGTGGCCTACTTTTCCTACGCAACCCCTAACAGTATGACACATGCTATATAAATTATAACTACACAAGTCGCACTTATAAAAGCCAAACTTGCCAAAACTAGCTTTTCTGCCTTCCTGCTTCAGGAAGAACAAGAGCATTTCTTCCTCTTTCACCTTGAATTTCAGACTACTGACACTAACTTTTCACACTTGTTAATGACAATTACAGATCTTTCAGAAAAAATGTCAGTATTCCATTGAGGTTCTCTTCTTGTCTAGATCTTTTATTTATGCCACTTCTTACTTTAGTCAACCATTCCTCATCAGATACTACTTTCAATCCATTCTGCAAGAATATTATATCAGTCCACAAATTTATATGTATTGCTATAAAGTAACAGTTATATTTAATGGATAAAAAAATATTTTAAGTTAATTTATTCACTCCGAAGACATTACCAACATGTGGTGTCTGTCATTATACTGCTAGGAAAAATATTAGCACTCAATGCCTGCAGGTTCCAGTGAGTGCTTGCATATGGCTTTATTGATCATGTGGAAATGATTAGCTGATGTTGATCTGTGCTAAATGACATTAGCACACAGTATAGGGTAAAACTGTCTGAGGTCAATGTAAATGTATGCTTCAAGTATTTGCTGTTAATTTTTGAGTGGTTCTAGTTCATACATTTTGTTAATGTACAAGTACAGTATTTAGTATGATCACATAAGAAAAGAACTGTACTGCACCAAGACCTCAGACTGACAGTGCTGGATGTTAGAAACCTAGTGATATGCAGTAAGAGCTGAGGGTAGTGCTGTTTCATTCCCACTTATGTCATTTTTCTATGTATTGTATTCAATAACTAGTACAGAGAGTTATTACCTGCATGTTCAGATTAGTGATAAAAGAGAATGTTGCACTTGCTGTACTTCGAGATGTAAGGATGATGGTATGAGTAGAAAAACAGAATCAAAGGCCATACTAAGCAGTATTACATCGCTGGGATGCAGTGACCTCAGCAACACTCACTTTCCTTATTCCAGAAAGGAGTAAAGGATGTTCAGACTCTGCCTATTCCAATTCACAACATAAGCTGTACTAACAAAGTAACATGTTTACATTTGGGCCTGTCTTGTTTAACATACTCATCAGTTAGGTGGAGTCTTATCAAGTTTCCAGATGATCCCAAACGGTGAGGGGCTACCTGGAGTGCTCGGGGGTAGGGCTGCCATTCAGAAGTGGCTGGAGGAATGGGATGACAGGGACCTTGTAAAATTCAGCAAAGACAAACAGGAAGCACAGCATGTAGGAAGGAATAGCCAGAGAGCAGCTCTGCTGAGAAGGACCTGGGAGTACTGGCAGAGAGCAAATGGAGCAAGTGCCAGCACTGTGTCCTGGTAGTAAACAATGCCAGCAGCAACCTGGGCTGTATTAACAAGAGCATGGCCAGCAGATGGAGAGAAGTGATTATCCCCTTCTACTCTGCACAAGCTAGACTATATTTAGACACTGTTCCAGTTCTGGGCTCCCCAACACCTAAAAGACATGGATAAAGTGGAGAATTCAGCAGAGGGCCACCAAGATGTCTGGGGGCTGGAGCACTTGCTCCAGCCTCAGGAGAGGCTGAGGAAACTGAGCCTGATCAACTGGAAGAAAAGAAGGCTTTGTGAGGACCTAAAAGGAGGCATCCACCTTTCTGGTGCCTATAGAGAGATTATAAAGAAGATAGTGTCAGGCTTCTTGTAGTGGGGCATGGTGGGAGAATGAGAGACACCAGGCACAAATTGAAACAAACTGAGCTCACAGTAGATCAAAAGAGAAAAGCTTCTTTCCTGCGAGGACAGTCAGGCTGTAGAGCAGGCTGCCTGGGGAGGTTGTCCAGTCTCCATCCTTGGAGGTCTTCAAGACAGAATAAAGACCTGAGTAATTGGGTCTGAGTTCGTGGCTGAACGTGCTTAGAGCAGGAGGTTGGAGTACAGACTCGCTGAGGTGCCTTTCCACCCCACTTACTCTGTAATCCAATGAATCTCTAACACAATCAGGTAGTCTTTACATATGCAAGTCACAGTAGCATCTAGCCCTTTTTCAAAGTCAATTAGTCTATGGTCAGACAATGTAGCACATTATCTTTATTAATTATTCTTTGAGCAAGGCTACTTAAGTTGCTGCTATAAGGCTGAAATGCACTTTCCATGGTTGTGTATTGATTGTATATGCAGCAAGCAAGCAAAACTCAATTCAGTGCCTCTTGTTTTCACTGCAGCACTCTCAGGGAGAGCCTACTTGCTGACATTTTCTATCCATCTGTTCTTATACCAGCTGTGTCCTTTTGCATTTACTCCACTGATTTATTTATGAAGCAAAAATCTAGAGGCTTCCTCTTCTAGTCTTTGTTCTGTTAGGCCAAGCAAGCCAAGCTCTGTCATAGACAGTCTCTAGACTTGGGGGCTCTTCATACAGCTTCGACCCCAGACCTCAACGGCTGGTAACTAGAGTGAGCCAAAGCATCCAAATTAGGTCTTTTGCAGCGTTGTTGGCGTTTCCGTGCTTGCACGGGAAATGTTTAGCTGTTAAGCGCGGGAGGAATTGCTGAGGCGAGCCTGAGGGGCTGCGGCTGCCGCCCGTCCCCTCCCCTCAGCGCCTGGTTTCCCGCCTCAGCGGAGGAGGGAGGGTGGGGATGGCCCAAGGGCCCTGCCGTCCTCCCTCCTCCGCCTCGCCGCTGAGGCGGGGCCGGGCCGGCTCCTCCTCTGGCAGTTGCGGGCGTGGCAGCGGCACAGGCGGTGCCTCCGCTCCGCGTCCAGCCCGCGGGAGCCCAGGGGCGAGCGTCCCGCTGCCCGCACCGCACCCCCCACCATGTTCCAGCTCCTGCGAGGCTTCGTCTTGCCGGCGGCCGCCTGCGACGGGAGCAGGGATGGCGACTCCCGGTACGCTAACCTCTTCAAGAAGCTGGACCTCAACGAAGATGGGAGGGTGGATATCGCCGAGCTCCAGACGGGCCTCCGGGCCATGGGCATCCCCCTGGGAAAAGAGGCGGAGGAGGTGAGAGCGGGCCGGGGGCGCGGCGGCCCTTCCCCTGTCC